TTCACGAACACGAAGACATACAGGGTTGCTGGTGTGTTATTTTTTCTTGAACAAAATCTACACTAGCCACACACGACGAACATGTGTGCGAGCATGGTCGTGTTTGCAGCAATGTTCGCCGTTTGTGGGTGGGTTCACGACCATGTTCGCCAAAAATCAAAATAGTTTTGCTGCGTTTCTCTATACATTCCAGATAATTCCTTTTTTACAGCCGGAAATAATAGAATGCGTTTGAAACAACAGTTTATTCCAAACATTCAGAATGAATAAAGAAATGCAGCCCTTAATTTTCGGGGAACTTTTTCCTTGTTTGCCGCGTGGTTTGCGAACATGGAATTGAAAACAAAATCAAAAACCTGATTTAGTGCTGTTGATTGCAGTGTGCATATTGCCGGATAAATGCATCCAAACCATGTGCATTGATCGAGTTTTGAGTAATAACGACAAGATCACATACGAGCCGCTCAACGTCTGTGGCAAACGAAAGCGAGCATATTGGCGAGCGTTGTGGATTGCAAGTGTTGTAATGGGCTTATATATAATATTATATTTAATATTTATATTTAATATTTATATCGTTATTTTTTTTACCAAATACCTTGTAATGGCAGCAAAAAGATTAAAGAAGAAAGATATTTACATAGTTCTCGAATGCAACAGAGTTTTGGTACTAAAAATTTGATTTCGACATTACTATAAAATTTTAATTTTATGGATACTAAATACCACTCCATGCAACCCTGCAGTATCACACACAACACACGCATTTTGCGCTCGAATCCGACACAAAGCCAAAGAAATTTGTAGAATTTTTAACGAAGCATTGAAAAGCAAAGACGCGTTTTACATAAAAGTGCTTATAATCGTGTATTTTAATTGATTTTTGATCGAATTGATTGCTGACAAGAAGCAAAATAATTCTGAAGAGCTTTTGAAGAAAATATTGCTTGCAAAAAACAACAAAATGTCGCTATTTGGCTCATTAATGGGAGATTTCGATGATGACCTTTTCATGGGGTAAGTTGTAGCTGTTTCTATTTGATATTTATTTGGGTGCTCCTCTACCGACTTCGTCGGGAAAATCATCGTGATCGTCACGAGAAGCCGTGAGCATATTACTGTGAGGTGTGGGCAGTTAGAAAATAATAAAAGTTTTTACGTACATATATGATAAGTTTTTCAAAGATCACATGCGGTTTTTTTTAAACATATGGGTGCACATGTACATACATATCACATAAGGTCCAGATTAGTGTTCATACGAATAATTTTCCACGTAGAAAAATACAATCTTGGTGCTAAATGCTATAGTTTGCGGTGGCGGCCAATTTCTCCAATAATTAGCTATGTATGTATGTATATGTATATTATGTACAAATCAGCGCAGCAGGTACATATGTTTGTAGAGATGTGCATTTATCTACGCACATCCATACATACATACGGACATACGTATGCGCGGATGTGAATATATTCATTTGTATATAAACGACTACGTCAGCTGCCGCCGTCGCCGCAGTGTCAATCGTGCACAATAGAAATCGATAATTTTCTTTTCCTTGTCCCTTTCGGTAGAATTGCTTTATATTTCCTTCTTATAAGCACACTCATCCACCCGACTCGATTTTTCCAAACAATTTCTTATATTTATTTCTGTTGAGAAGGTTCGAGTATTCCATGAACTTTGCCTTTTTGCTTGAGGTGTTATTGTAATGGTGTTCGCTTTTTGTCCTAATTGTAGGTTAATTTCGGAAAATAAAATACAGTCAAACTTCCCCATCTCGAACTTCTCACACCGACTTTAATTGAGTGGCAGTATCAATTAGCAGTTCAATGCATATTATGCCTAAGTTACTCATTTGTTTTTTTTTTGTTTGCACGAACATCTGCAAGTCGAATTTTTTAAAGTCCCAAATGTGTTGATTTTCATTTCATGTTCATATATACATGCGAATTCACCTTGGATCAACCCTTGATACCCTATATCGTGAAGGTCTTAAAAAAGTTTGCGGGCGGGGCGGGACCAAAATACTTTCCCGACATTCCCGATAAAACCCGCCACCTCCGCAAATACAAAAAATCTTATTTAACAACCTAAATAATCACTTTTTTATGCTTTATTTGTACGAAAAGCGAAACAAAATAATTGGAAGATAACAGATCTTTGATTATTTTTTATATTATTTAATACTAATTCGAAAGACATGTGAATTTCGGGACCCACAGGAACCGCTGTACTATTACTCCCGTAAGGCTCTTTTTTTTTTTTGTTAATATGCGCAATGTATTATGTACATGCTAAAATCTTTTTGTTAATTTTAAATCCAAGAATGAAACAGTGTACGAAAATTAAGAAAAATCTGCAAAGTTTCAACAAAATCGCAATTTTAATACGAATTTCTAAAAAGAATTCAGGTATGCAGTTTATTAGCGTTGATTTCTGAGAATTTTTTTGTGACTATCCTTGGCATTTTTTTTTTTTTTCGTATAAACCCTTCGACCAATTTGTACCAAACTCGGCACGATTATTGTGCTTGCTACGTAAAAGCACAATGTTGCAAATTATTAAAATCGGACTAAAATCACGCCCACTTTTCATATAACCGTAAATTTCAGTTATGCTTGAAACTTCGATATTGCGAAATTTAAGCACGCTAATTTACTCAAAATTGATACAAACAGCAATCCCTTCAAAAGAAGTAACATTATTATGGATATATGTATATGTATGTATATCTGAATAGATATACTATGAATTCCAAGTTGGGTTCGTATCATTCTTATCATGTTATGAGGCTTGGCTGTTTGATCTGATAATCTTTAATTTCTTTATTTTCCTTTAGTGAATAATGCATTATTTACTATATACATAAATAGATAAAAATAAACAATACGGCAATTTTTTTTACTTCAAATTCTTAGTTAACCTTATTTTATGTCTATGCATACATGTAAAGTCGGAATTTTTATGTCTCATCCCCTAGGATGGTTCTTTACCGAAAAAATTTACTCCTATTTTTTATTTTGAAATCAACAAATATTTAAAGGTCGCTCAAAGCGCTGAAAATTTTCCAGGTTTTTTTTTTATATGGAAAAAACTGTAGAAATGGTATCGAATTCTTGAAAATCAATATTTTCACAGTCAATAATTTGTTTGTTTAACCATTTTTTTATATCGTGCAGTATTGAAAGCTCAATTCTGTATGGCGACAA